AGTGGGTCACACTGTATATAAAGAAATACATTGAGAATTTGAATTCTCTATGAAATATCAATTATTCCTCTTTTTTTTTAATTGACTCTGCACAAACGATAAGATTTCCACAAAAACTATGTTGTTCTTCTAATATATGGTTGGCGTATGTTGAATTTGTTTCCTTTCTCAAAAAATTCATTCCATGTTCCTATGTTCATGAATGCGCTGATCAAACGTACGACCTGTCTGACCGATATATACCTTAGGACAAGATCCACAGTTGAGTTTGTATACCCCTGATTTTTAGAATTTAGAAGTTTTAATGTAGATATTGTGCCTAATTTCCGAAATTGGAGGTTTATCGAACCTGTCCACAGGTAACTAATCCTTCAGGTTGGAAAAGTAGGATATATAAGCAAGCCAAGGTTAGTTTAGTTAATCGTACCAGTATATCACCTGACGAAGCTACTGTGTTAGCGAAACATGTCGTGTGTTTGAGAATTTTGTGGAAATCTTATTGTTTGTGGAGTTTTTACAATTATTTCTCTGTTTATTCAACAGAAAACAACTACTTTCCTGGCTATATGCCGACGAACATTGGATTATATCTATTGAACACACACGATAAGAATTTGAACAAAAACTCTTGTAAAGTTGATAATTTGCATTCTTCCGATAAGAATATGTATAATTGTATATGCACATAACATCATTCTGAATATTTAACAGAAAACAACTACTTTCCTGTCTATTTGCCACGTCGAACATTGAATTATATCTGTTGAATATCCAAAAGGAGAGCATAAAAATAAAGATCCTATGGAATTGAGAATTGACAATCTCTCAAATCTAATATATCATGGACATAATAATATAAACAAAATGAATGATAAGATATCCCACGCACAGTCTTTCGACTTTGTGGGTACCTCCGGTTTATTGTAATATTTAGACTATATCATTATGTACAGGGTGGGCAAAATTGGGCGTTTTCGCCGTCTATCTCAATAACTAGAGGAGTTATCGAAAAACCGATATACATGTTCCGGGTTCGATTTTGGAGAAACCTCGAATGGCACAATCAAAATTTCGATAAATTCATTCGTTTTAGAGATACAGGGAGAAATTGAAAATTTGCCGATTTCGATTTTATTTTCTGACTACTTTACGGTGAGAGGTATCAAAAAATTTCAAACGTATATTTATACAGTATAATGCGTGGAATCCATTGGCATCATCAGAAATTTTATACAGGGTGACGTTGAAAAGATACGGCAGCCAATTATGGTTTTTCTAATGGAACACCCCGTATATTTTGGCACAGTTGAATAGTCCCAGGCGTTCTCATTACAAATATATATATAACCCTACCTTTTCCTTCCACAATTTCAGATATATTCGCAACAATATATTCAGTGTGTCACATTTCTTATGGTTACACCTACTAACAATAGGTGCATACAGATTTGATTGATGTTCAGTTCATATTGTACACGTAGGTACAAAGGATTAAAAAAAATCGATTTATGAAAAAAGTTGATAACTTGACAAAAATCATAGTTTTTCTGAGTAGAATAACGATTCAAATGATTTTTTTCAAATTTATGTAGGTACCTACTATACCTACGCACTAAGATCAGTATGGTCTATCAATTGAGATTGGCCTCTGCATGTGATCAAAATAACATCACAAGAACTCGAATATCTGGATACAAAGTTTCTTCAAAATATCAAGTTTGCTCAATTGTTTTCTTGATATTAGAATGAAAACAATGGATTGAAGTTCATTCGTTTTCTTCTGAAGATAGAAATCTGGCGTCAAATTTCACATGTTTATATACTGGAACCATTATGCTATTATCCCTGGAACACTATAGATGAGTTAATATCCTTCCTTTCTGACAAATTTCTTTATTTTTCTCACATCATGATTTCTTGATTATATGGATTGTTTAGTAATCTCACGTAGAATATGTGTACGTATAGATGTCATTGACTTTTTGAACCAAAAGAAAAAAACACATGGTGCGTAATGTGGATATCTAGGAAGCCAATGAAATGTAGGACTTTTTTTGCCAATCCAATCTCAGAGGGGAAGTCCTTTCAGCTGTATATCACCGCATGTTAATAAATACAATTTGAGGCCATAGTTTTTTAACTTGCGAATAACTTTTAATTTCATATTCACCATTCATTCAAAATATTCAATCTTAGACCATCTGATAGGTTTTTTGGAAAGGGTAGTATATCGTTCCTTCAATACCCCAGACTAGGGTTGTTCATTGAATGATTGTTAGTAGCTAGACCCATCTTGTGAAATAATGTCCGTGAATATATTCATTTATTGGTATTATTATCAATATTTCAATCTCATGAATAAACATATTTCAGTGTATTGATATCAAATGAAATAATCTATATCTGGTCTTATTAGTGAAGTATAGGTATTACCTACCTATAGGTAATTTAATACGCATTCGTCAATAATTCAATCACTCCGATGATTATTATCGTTTTTATGTAATACACTCATAAATTAGGCTTTTATATTGCGTTCTTAATATTTATCTATGAAAGTATTTGCCTGTCTACTCGAAAAAAGTGTATCCTACTTTTTTTTATCGCTTGGAGCGCACGAAAGGGAATCCCTATAATGTTGATTACGTCCGTGAACCTATATACAAATAATTCACAGAAAGTGTCACTTTAGGACCATATATACACGGTTTATCATAACAGATAGGGGGTAAAATCATATAATAATAATAATAATAATAAATTTATTCATCTTTCTTGATCATACATATAGTTGATATAAGACATGTCAGGGGTAAAACAAAAAATATATATAAAACTGCTAGTATAATTATTACAAAAAACACATTAGCACATAAAATCAGTAAATATGTCATACACACACTTCTCTACTAAACATTTTTTGAGACATCTTTTAAAAAGATTATGATCTTTGATTTCCTTTAAGGATGATGGGAGATGATTGAAAAAACTTATTCCATTATAGTGTGGACTGAGCTGATAGAGAGATGTTGAGTGTTTGGGGACACAGAATTTATCACCATATCTTGTAGAGTAATTATGGAAGTCATGGTTTTTAGAGAATTCCGATGAATTGCTTTTTGCATATAAAATGCATTTGTAGATATATATCGACGGCAATGTTAATATTTTTTTACAAACAAAGTCGATGTTTGAGGCCCAACTTACATAGTACATTTTCCAGCTAATAGATTGAGCTTATGGACAAGTTCGGTGGATGATTCAGCATCTGCTGCCAGAGTGGTGTATCATCAGCATACAGTATGGTATAATCAGCGTTTGTATGTAAAGGGAGGTCATTCACATATATAACAGGAATATTAGAGGTCCTAAGATGGACCCTTGAGGAACACCTCGCTCAACATCTTTGAATTCAGACATGCTGTTCTCAATGTTCACACATATTTTCCTCATATTAAGATAGGAGGATAACCAGTTTAACAAATTTCCCCTAAAAACCAGTGCATAGAGTTTATTTTCTATAATAGATATATATCTATGCAATCTTCATTAAAACCGTAATAACGTATGTTACGTAGGTATTGCTTTTCTTCTTCCTGAATATTGGATATTGTTAGTGATTCACACGAGACCAACGAGACGAGACTTTATGAAAGTCTCGTCTCGTCTCGCCGATGGAATATAAAGTCTTGTCTCGAGTCTCGTCTCGCAGCTTCGAGTCTCGTCTTGTCTCGCGTCTCGTACGAGAGTCTCGCAAATGTATCGCAATTTCGTCATGCATAATCTTGTTCCAGTTTAGTATACGGGATATTTACATTCACCTACTTTTTAGGTATAATTTAGAAGTAGGAAGAGAGAATTACAACAAAAATGACATTATTCATTGAAAAGTAAGTTCATACTTACATCATACATCTAAACAAGAAAAAAAACATTGCATTATTTATATGCGGAAGATATAAAAATGAAATAAGAAGTAACACGTATATTCTAAACAAATACACAAAACAAAACTTTAATGCAACATTATTTTACTCATTCAAGAAATAGGTATCTAAGAAAATAGTTATTTGTTTTTTCAGAAAAGTAGTAGATTGACTGCCGTGGCTGGAAGTTCAGCCAAGGCAGTCAATTTACATTTGTTGCCGTGTGAAACATTGAATTTTTTCCCCGAATTTTGTGTAATATTTTATTGAAAACTCCATCATTTTGTGTTCATTCAATGTCAGTGTCAATTTTGATTACTAATTTCATTAGACTTCCTTGGAACGTTGCATAGCAACAAACTTTTTTTGCCTAGGCAGTAAAAGTACACCTTTTCTGCCTGTTAAGCGGCAGTAAGAAGCCACTATCCCTGCCGCTTGGAGAAAAAAACCTTCATCAGTCAGATCAGCCTTCACGATCGCAAATGTTTTTGTTTTCCACCCAGTCGTGTAGACATAAAGTTATTCTTTTTCTTAGACTATTCAGCACAGAATGATTTATTTATAGATTTTCAGGTAGTCATTCAATTTGCGATCTGTCGTTATTGCAGAATTGCCTTTATATTCCGCCGCCGTAAGATAGAGAATAGTCCGTTTTCGTTTCACGAATTACGTCATTTTACAACAATCATGGATTGTGTTTTTAAAGTATTTATGAATGAAATGTGTTGTCTATATATGAGCTAAAAAGTCTGAATTCTTTCTCAATATGTTGTTTTATGAGTGAAATTCTCCGGTCTACAGTCGGCACGCAGAAATATTTACCTGCGAGACTCTCGCACGAGACACGAGAAGTCTTGCACGAGACTCGAGACGAGACCAATGAAAGTCTCGTCTCGTCTTGTCCGAGTCTCGTCTCGAGTCTTGTCTCGAAAACGAGACGAGACCATGCGAGACTCTCGAAAACGAGACTCTCGCGGGAACCACTAGATATTGTACCTAGACCCCCCCCCGGGATGAATCTTAATAACGCCACTGGTATAGATACCCCAATCCCGTAATTTTTTCCAGGTTGAAATGTGGAAGCTGTTGACTTGTCTGTGCCCTCTTCTGATCGCCACAATCGCCAGACCAGACAGGAACAGCCTGCACCCTTGTCCCGGTGCCCCCGACAAGGGCCCCTGCAACAGGAACATCTACAAATGGTCGTTCGACCACGATCGACAGGAATGCGTCATGTTCATTTGGGGAGGGTGTGGGGGCAACGACAAAAATCGGTTCGACAATGAACATCAGTGTTGGAACAGATGCGTAGCACTCGAAAGTAAGAAAAACTTCGATGACTACAATATGCAATTCTTTTCATCATATCACCCTTTCCACTTCTGCTTTGACATCATTCTGCTGCATACTCAACTTGAGTCTGCATTATCCTACTTCCTTTCTCTTCATCAATCATTCTACTTCATTCTACTTCGTACCATTTCATTCTACTTCATTTCATTTCATTCTACTTCATTCCACTTCATTCTACTTCGTACCATTTCATTCTACTTCATTCCACTTCATTCTACTTCTTACCATTTCATTCTACTTCATTCAACCCCAATCTACTTCATTCTAATGCATTCAACTTCAGTCTTTTCGATTTCCTACCTCAGTCAGCTTCATTCTATTTCGTACTATTTCATTCCACTTCATTCTATGAGTCTACGCCAATCTACTTCATTCCGTACAAAGTTCCGTATCATTCTACTTCATTCTATACTGCATTCAACTTCATTCTTTTCCATATACCATATATACTAACTTTTTTATCGCTTGGAGCGCACGAAAGAAAATCCCTATAATGTTCAAAGAACATCGTGCGTTCCTAGGAAGGATAGGGACAGGAGGTAGGTATTGGATTTTTTTTTGAACTTCTGGAGATTATACGTTGTTGGAAATACTTCCACAGGCAATTAATCCCAGAGCCTAGCCGTTCTATGGATGAAGGAGTCTTGATAAAGTGCTGTTCGACATCTTACGAGGTTGACAACGAAAGGATGTGCTGACTGGGCTTGTCTAGTTCGTCTGATTGGTATTGCTAGTGAAGGGATGATAGCAGAGATTTCCGAAGAACATTTCCCGTGGAAGTATCGATAGAAAAGTGAAAGGTCGCCGACCTTCCTACGATGTTCCAATGATGTCAAAGAGTGAGTGTGGCGTCACCCACCAGGCGAATGGCTCTTCTCTGGATGGAATCTAAGAGCATCAGCGTATGTTTTGGTGCTGAACCCCATATGTGGGAACAGTATTCTAGAACAGGCCGTATCTGCGCTTTGTAGATCATGAGAATCTGTTGAGGTGTAAGCTTCATTCTACTTCGTACTATTTGATTCCATTTCATTCTACTTCATTCTACTTCAGTTCTCTTGATTCTACTTCATTATGTTTACCAAACTTCAACTTGAACAAAACTTGAATTGCATAAAAATTCATCTTTTAACACACAATAAAAATTTGGAAAGTTTCCGAAATTGAGAATTCGCATAACCAATCAAGGAGTTCAAATTTGAACGATGGAAATTTGTTGTTTTTACAAATCAGAATTTCCTTCCTCGTCCTGGTATGATTAACATCAATTCATCGTATAACCAAACAATTAATCTGTTGTTTTGATATTGTTTTATACAACAAAATTATGAAATATTCAGTGTGAAAGCAAAGAAGATTAGGTTCAACATTTAGTGAATGATATCATTCAATGGGCCATCCTTGTTTGCCATTTATAATAAAAATACTTCACAATTAGGAATAATGTTGGCAGAAAGCAGGTAAAAATCGAAAAATCCGAAAAATGCCAATCGTAATATTGAAGGTAATAAAATTGTGAATTCATAACAAACGCCAACAATTGCACAGTAATCATTGAAATAGATATTCACAATAAAAGTTGAAGGATGACCATAAATCAACAATGTTTAACAAGAGGTTCAACTTTTTAGTTAGTGGTGAGTTGGAGTGTTTCATACTCCTTCATTTCCTACGTCATTCGTCATTCTTCTTCATGCAACTCCATTCTTGGTATTACTATCAGCAATAACCTTTCTTGGGAAAATCACGTAAGATCAATTGCTAAAAGTGCATCGCAAAAATTTGGTTTTCTGCTTCGGGTCAGGAGCTATTCCACTTCCAGTCAGCTGCTTATGATCTATAAGGAACAAATCCGACCTGTCCTGAAATACTAGTCCCATATTTGGAGTGCAGCACCCAAACATACTCTGAAACTGTTGGATTATGTCCAAAAAAGGGCAATTTGTCTCGTGGGTGACACCTCGCTCACGAACTCACTCACTTCTCTGGAACAACGCAGAAAAGTTGGCGATCTGGAGGCTTCGCACCCCTTCGTGGTCACTCTTTCCGTTCATCCAACGAACAGCGAGGCTCTGGAATACATTGCCAAGGGAGGTGCTTCCAGAGGCATATTACCTCCAGAAATTTGAGAAGAACATCAATTCCTACCTTCATTTCCCTTGGTTCTCACGATGTTCTCTGAACATTACAGGATACCCCTTTTCGTGAGAACCAGAACATGAAAAAAATCTACTTCTTGCTGCTTCATTATTCGTTATCCTACTTCAATCTACATGTTACCTATTCTATTCCTGTCTCCTATCCTTCACTGTTGCTACTGTTTCATTCCTGTTTTATATGAAATGAATTGATCAATTTTTCAGGGGGGATATCATTATCTAACAATGACTCAATTATACCAAATGAAGAGAGAGGCCCACATCTAACTTTTCAAGAAACTGGTAACGAGACCACCTTCATGTTTGCTCAGTCCAATACTTTCATTCAGATCGACGGTGATATCATACAAACATTTCAATTAAGGTATGTGCATTAGCATACGATGATGTATTCTATCTTTTAGACTATGCAATCATGGATATTTCATACTCATCGTTTTTTTCATTAAAACCATTTGCGATGATTTTGTTGTCTTCAATTCAGTGAGGTTATTCATGTTTTAATAATATAAGTACCAAAATTATTTTGATTTGCTTCAATGTGAAATGATTGGCAACACTAGCTCTTCTCATAAAAAGCGACATGATAATGAATATAGTAGTTTAAAGAACTAAAGAAACACCCTTTTATAGGTAGCCAAACTAAAAAGAAGAAGAAAATAAAATGATAATGGTGGATTGATGAATACACAACATAAAAAATACTAGCAGTAATCAGTAGGTACATTCTATGTTGTGTACCTATTTATCAAAACACTCTTATTATTTTATTTTCTCCTTCTTTTTAGTTTGTATAAAAGGGCGTTTCTTAAATTTTTTGAACTTCTATTCATTTTCAATTATTTAGATCGACTAACTGCAAAAGCATTTTTAAGCGTTTATATATTTTTGTAAGAACCCAATTCTGATGAATCATAATATCCAATCCCGAAAACCCCCAGATACTATTTTTTTATAGAATCCGGTCATGATTACGAAACCTTTTCGCCATATTGTATCCGCCATATAGAATTTTCCAATTTTGACAAAAGCATCATAATCTCATACCCCGAAAACCCCCAGATGCCAATTTTGAATAGAATCGCATCATATAATAACAAAACTCGTCCACCATATTGGATCCGCCATTTTTAATTTTCTAATTTTGATGATAGAATTGTTATCTCCAACCCCAAAAACCCCACATATCAATTTTGACTACGATCGGATCATAATTACCAATTTTGACGGAAGAATCATAATCTCCAACCTCGGAAATCCCCAGACACCAATTTCGAATCGAATCGGATCATACATTGCCACCAGAATCATGTACACCTGTCAAATTTCAAAGCAATGGGTCCGTTCAAAGTGGGTCAAAATCGAGTCCAAAGGAATTGGTTACATACATACATACAGGGGAAGCTAATAAAATAGTGTTAATAAAAAAAGAAACTTGCAGTAGTTGCGGCATAAGAATCACAGTTGAAAGAATTGATATATTAATTATTCTTTCAACTGTGTAAGAATGAAGGAATCAAGCTCAAGCATCGTTGCCAGATTTAATATATTTCCCAACATTACCGACAAAATATATGATACCTGTTATCAGAACTACAAAAACAGTGAATTTATCGAATATGCAACAAGTTTATTTTTTCAACGACTTAGGTTATGCCGCCAAATCTCTTTCCAATTCCGTACTCGTCTACCACATGGTCTTCTCGTATACCACAACGTCAAAGTTCCAGCAGGAGTATCTCTGCAACCGTACGCTCTCTATATCATAGTCCAACAAGGTCAGCTCAAGGTGGTGCATGTGTACGGAAAACACTCGTCAGCATTAACTGTAGGCAGAGGGCTCAACAGGGACGAATGGCATTCAGTAACGGTCAGTATCAAAATTTTCAAGTAGGTACTCGGATAAGATATTTCATGTAAATTCGCAGTGCTTTGAGTTTGAGACTGTTTTCAACAACATCTCATATACCCGTGACAAAGGTGGATATATATGTATGGTGAAATAGCTCCCTCTTACAAAACCCTAGAAATTTTTGTAGACCTCTGGCCTACTTGATTATGTCGAATTCTATCACCGTAGTAAGGCCGCGCAAAACTAACGCTAGATGGCGCTGTTCCCGAAGTGATCTTGCTACACAATGGTTGTTTTGTTTTGTTGTTTACATTTACGTATATTAATTCGTAATTCAAAAACATTGAGAAAAAGTGATTGATTTAATGAAAAAGACGTGAAATTTTCATTATATCTGTGAAGTATATGTGGCACGATGTTCCCTACGCCATCTACAGTCAATCCGGTGCGGCCTTGCTACGGTGTTTCGCGGTCTACACGTTTTGGAAAGAAACAATTGGACAAGTGGTTACACCAGTCTATTTTCATCACGCCCGTGACATTGGCATCAGGTACAGTGTATCCAAAGTCAGTTGGAGCAAGACATATCCAAAGCCTGCACAGACTTCAAAAAAACTTCAAACGAACCGACGACAGCGCGCTGCGTATGTGTTTTTTGGAACTGCTCCAATTGACCTTGTCTATTAGTCCATCTACTTGCATATTATTCAACTGGCTATAATGTTCTATACTTACCGGAACGTTGTCCTCGAAATATTTCAATGCACTATTCCTCATTCCACCTGAATTTTCACGAATCCTGTTAATCAAGAAGATAAATAAAAATTCTTGCTATTTTAAGGTTCGTATAGATGTTCATAGCGCAAGACTCATGGCCATCGTTGATGATCTGAGAGAAGAAATAACCCTAAAAGGCCTGGACAAAGAGAGTAACTACGGTGTAGCTGCTAATGTTACTTCCGTCATTCTCGTCGGAGGTATGATTTGATATGATATTAACTCAAATGGGAGACTAATAATACAACACGTCTTATTCGCAATCATAGGTGGATCAGCCTTAATTCATCATATAACAAACTTTTCAATTCAGGTCTGAGCTCTGAGGAACGCCTGCACGGAGTGAAATACATCATAGAATCCTTCGTCGGCTGCATCAAAAACATCATTCTAGGCACAGGAAAATCAGCTTCAGATCTCTTACCCATCAGCCCTCTGATAGCTACCAAGCATGAAAACGTCCAGGAAGGATGTATCGACAAATGTATAACAGTTGAGAATCTCTGCTTCCAAGGCTCTAGATGTATCAACCACTACAACTCACTATCCTGTGACTGTTTCGGCACCAAATATGAGGGAGAATACTGCGATATCTACAGTGAGTTCTCGAAATATTTAGTGGACCTCATGTATTGCATTGTATGCATAAGGGGTGAATACACTAAAAACGACCTAAAAGATTTATTGTGCCCCCTTTGCTTACCCGATGAGATTTTTCTCCGTAGCTATACCAATTTCTTTAGTCCTATGTATATCTCTTAGTTTCTGGATATGAGGTGGTTCTAGGCAGGGTAGCTCCTCCTCCTCCTCTATCATGTGTGCTCCATGTTTATCGTCCTTGAGTTCTATGGAGTAACACATTCCGTGAGTATATGGATAGAGGTTTCTCCTCCTTCCCGAAGAACCTGCATTCATCTTTCTCTTTCAAGCCGAGCTTTCGAAGATGCTCTTTCAACCAGCAGTACCCTGTTAGGACTCCCGTTAGTATAAGAAGTTTAGTCTTGTTCGATCTTTCGTGGTTATACTTGTTTACCCATTAGTATCTCAGCCTTTCCGAGACCTTGAAGATTTTCCCAGATGTACATACATATCGCAATCTCTATTAGGCTTCATCTTTATTTTTAGTTTCTTCTGATACATTGATACTGCTGATACCGCAGGAAGCTTATGGCTCTACGAAAGGGTATTTGAGCTCCTCCCCCAGAGAGTTCGTCCGCTACTTCTTTTCCCTCTACTCCGGAATGTCCAAGAACCTGTAGAAGAAAGACTGTATTTTTGGTGGCTAGCTCGTTCAGTTTGTCCCAGCATTCCCTAACCATTTTGGAGCTGCTTCAATGGCTGCTTGACTATCGGACGTGACGATGATATCTCGTCTTCCATAGCGTAGATCTCATGGTCTGGATTTAGATATAGCACAATCTCATCCATCTCCCCATCGTGAATGAGGCAATTTATGATCAATTTATTTCAGCTGCGACAATCCTCACGCTGAGGGGTTCTTCTTATGTCTCGTACAGGGTGTACGACTGGAAAGACCGAGTGCACTCGTCAGTAACGCGCTTTTCCATGGTCTTCAAAACCAGATTTGACGATTCCGCTTTGCTTTATGCTGCTGGTGGCGAGCAAGGCATAGACCACTACATAGCAGCATCCATCTACAACAACTCGGTTTTTGTCGAAGTAAATTTTGGGGAAGATCCCATAGTAACGGTACTTGGACAGAACGCGGGCTTCAAGCTTTATCAGTGGAACAACCTAACTATTTTCCATGAATACGACAAGCTACACTTGATCTTGAACGAAGAAAGGGTGACTTTGAATATAACCGGGAATCTTCTGCTGTATATCGATCCAGAGATATATATAGGCGGAGGACCTGAAGAAGAGTTGCAGAAGAAGATTGGACTGAAGTCGACCAACAACTTCGTGGGTTCCTTGAAGTACGTCTTCTACAACGACATTTCCATAATCTACGAGCTGAATAAGAACAATCCCAAAGTGCACTATATCGGGATTCTGAGACCGGAGTTTTACGAAGCTGACGTCGAAGACATTCCCATAACGTTCCCATTCTCGTCTTCTCACATATGGTGGCACAACAACCATACGGACAGTCTCGCTCTCTCCTTCAGCTTCAAAGCTAGCAGTAACCTTAGCGTGGTGGCTTCCAGCGATTCTCAAACGGGCATTTACTGGGAGGTGCGCGTGGTGAATGACGAAGTGAGGTTCGAGCTGTCGGACAACGCCAAGAACGTTACTCATCTCATCAGCGTGAAGAAAACGCCCGGTATCTGGCACAGCCTGAATCTGACGTACGCCCACGGAGAAGTAAACCTCACCGTCGACAACCGGCACAAGCAAGAGAAGATCGACGACATGAACTTCGCGATCGGGGATAAAATCAAGGTATGTAAAAACTTCAGGTTATCGAATTTTGACAAGCCAATGATAACTACGAAATAGCCACAATGCGCAGAGTGAAATAAAATGTTGAATAAATAAAAAATGCTCAAAGTCATTTCCACGCACACAATGATAGATTTCGGGAGGAAAACAACTACTTTCCTGGCTAATACCACGCAGAACATTACATCCTCCCGAAATCTATGCATCGACTCGTATAAACGAATACTGATACAAGTGATTCTTTCCTGAATGTGTGGAAATAACTTTGAGCTTTTTGAGCGATGCTTTCCTTCTGTTCTACTCAGATGGCGTTGCTTTCATATTGTCGGTGAAAGACGCCTCTGGGGGAATATAATGCCGACTTGATTTCTGTTTGGCTAGGCTGCGCTGTGTCGGCGGTCTTAGGACTGCTGACTGGAGACTACCCTGCACTGATGGGAGTCAAAGAGCTCGAAACCGAATAAATTAAGAGTTGACGTGAGAAATACAGAGGCAATGTGAAATTAATCTATTTGAGAAACGTTGAATAGTTGGTGTTGAAAAAAATACAGACGATTGATAATAATCGAACAAACTTACCGTTTTTGCATGCCCACCATTAGTACTCGTCGATGCCATTTTTAGAATAATTGAGCTTGCACTTACAGTTAGGATTGTAATCACTAAATGGCGTAGTTCAGTGTTTTCATAAAATCTATTAAAGTAATGAGGATTTAAAAATTTGATATCGATATTATATTGTACTTAGACAGAAGTGACCTCAGGGTCTGACGAGGATATATTCAAGATCTTATGGTCAGGAAGAAGAACAGTCACTGATAATTTGAAATTGCTTTTACATCATTTTGGTTTCATTTTTCATGCATGCTGCATGATGGACATCATAGTGAACGACGCGCAGCTGTATAGGGAGGATATTCATTTACTTAAATATTCAGTTCTTTTGGTTTGGGTATTACTCGGCCATACATAAGGACAGGGCACGCGGTTTATTACAATCCATTCTTCGACTCGAAGCATTTCACTTTCTCAGTTGCCATTTGCTATCATGGAGTAGTGAACGCTATAGCAACGCGTATTCGTTATTGTTATTTCACGAACACTTGATTCCTATGCCGCTTCTTTTAGAATTATGCAAGAAAAACACACTGACCAAAGAGTCCACTGAGAAACAAGCAGAAGGAAGTCTTGATATTGCAATAGAAGACTGTAAGTGAGCTATTGTACAGGGTGGGGCATAGGAATCAAGTATTTGTGAAATAACAATAACAAACACGCGTTGCTCTAGCATCCACCGCTCTATGATAGCAAGTATGCTTCGAGTTGAGGAATGGTCCCGCCCTTTTCTAATGGCCGAGTACTACCCAAACCAACCACACTTGGTTCCTATGCCCCACCCTGAACATCCTAAGTGCATTTGTTCTCGTAATAATAATTTCCCATATTTGGAGTGCAGCACCCAAACATACTTTGAAACTGTTGGATTCTGTCCAGAAAAGGGCAATTCGTCTCGTGGATGATGCCTCGCTCACAAACTCACTCACTTCTCTAGAACACCGTAGAAAAGTTGGCGATCTGGCTCTATTTTATAGATATCTTCATGGAAGATGCTCTTCTGGAATATCAACAATAATTGTTACTCTCTTGGCAGTCCCCGCGAGATTAACCCGTCGAGTTGAGGCTTCGCACCCCTTCGAGGTCACTTTGGAGACCTGCAGAACATCTCTTTCCAAAGACTCGTTCATCCAACGAACAGCGAGGCTCTGAAACACATTGCCTAGGGAGTTGTTCCCCGAGGCATATAACCTCCAGAAATTTAAGAAGAACACCAATTCCTACCTTATTTCCCTTGGATCTCAGGATGTTCTCTGAACGTTACAGGATATCCCTTTTCATGTGAACCAGGACATTGTAAAGCACCCCTTTTCTTGGGTTGGCCTATACAGGGGTCTTCACAAAGTTACTGATTCACTGGGTTCGTGAATACTTAGGCAGGAGTAAGATTGGTGTATATAGACATTAAAACGGCAGTTCAAAATACATAAATCTCTATTCAGCAATCATCATAATATGGACAGGCAGAGTTGACATGGAAGTAAAACAGATGTGCTTACATAATATTGGTTGGTTATACATGATGACAGGATGATGTACACTCGCACTATTATACCGGGTCACTTTGAAAAGTTAATACAGTTTTATAAAAGTTCAACAATTCTCGATACACATCTATTGCAGCAACACAATATGTTCACTAGGTACAGACTTTTAAGCAATTTCTAATATCAACTACATATCACGTTTAACTAGACTGTTTAGCAGAGTTACTGGTTCAAGACATGAGACTTCGTATCAAGAGTTCGATCAAGACTGACTTTTATTCCAAAATTCCCTGCTTTTATACTGAGATTTGGTCATAAATTTAATCAAAATTCATTAGATTTTCGCTTAGTTGAATTGACCTCGAATTAAAGTGCAAAAAGAGAGGCTTCAGATGTTTTCAGAAATAGTTTTTAATCTAATGGAATTTTATCATTAATCATTTTGCAAAAATCGATGTCAGTTGACCTTGGGTATTACTTAAAATTAAGTACAGAAAAAGGATTTCAATGTTCATCTGAAAAGATTTTAAACTAATTGATTTTTGTAATAATTCATCTGGCCTCTACCTATCTTTGGCCCGCCCCTCTGCTGTGGCTCAGTTACTTAGGTTATAAATTCCCTGTACACTCTTTTCTAACTTTTATTCACATCTTTTTTTTTTGCTGTTCCTGTGTGCCACTATCAACAATGTTACAAAGGTAAAGTACCTAATAATAAACCTAGTACATATATGCATTTCTTGGGATTTGAAACAAATATGCATATTTCCAACAAGAGTTAATTCACGTAATAATATTGCTCTATCAATCTATCCTTCTATTACTTATTGAATGCATTCGAGTTCAGATACCTAAATATTTATTGACCTAATTAAAACGACCTTCTACTTCCTATATAAGTGTGAAGTGTCTAGCATTAGAGTATTCGTTATGATATTTTTGGTCGAGTTTTCGCGTTCATTACAACATAAATAAAAAGTGCATTCCTTACAGGTGGCTGCCGGTTCGCGGTCCAACTCGGGCATGATCGGCTGCATGATGGACATCATAGTGAACGACGCGCAGCTGGAGCCGAGGTCGGTGCTGCAGAGCGAGAGGGTGGTGGGGGAAGTGACCTTGGACGACTGCCGGTTCGTGGACGCTTGCAAGCGGCCTAATACGTGCGAACATGGCGGGAAGTGTTCGGTTAAAGAGGACCGGTTGATTTGCGACTGCACCAACACCGGGTACATGGGAACTAACTGCCATTTCGCGCAGTACAGGAAGACTTGCGAGGAGTTGGCGCTTTTAGGTAGGGACGAACGTAAGTTCGATCATATCTGGTATGTAGACTCTATTAAATGTAGGTGAAGCTGTTTTAGTTTTAGAGTTCTTAATCATCGTGCTGTCGAATTAATAATCATTTCAGCCTCTGCATCCTCAAGTCTTGGGGGCGGGTAGGACAAAATGTTGAAAACGATCGTTAACCATGATTTCGACGTTAAAAAATGTCAATTATAAATCACATGTGGATCATATTGAACAGAAACCATGATGTCACAAACTTGCAGTTGTTATTATGAAAATAAACACTGCAGTCTTATCATTTTAGCCGGATATATTGATTGCTTCTTCAGACATTGTATTCTCTACAATTTCTGTGTGAACACACACTGTGAAAGGCATAATCTCGTTAGCTTCGATTCTGCACTGGTGGATGGCAGCCATGTTTTTACCGTTCTCATTGTACTGAAGGATCTTTCGATACTAAGATGGTGAGAGGCGTTTATAGAAACATTTTAATGGCATATGAGATGAGATAAAATTCACATTCCGTCAATAGTTCATGGAATTTCATATCATCATTGAAATTATTAATTACTACCCTGTCTCTATAGTATCGGATTCGTTGATGATTCTTCATCAAAATTTCCGATATCGTAGGTTTGTTCTCTTTCAGATTTTTGAGTTGTAAACACGAAATCGAAAAGGATGTTCTCATATCTTTAGAGGAGTATATTTCCAGGAAAGATATCAGGGAGTCCATATATCAAATGAAAAAACACTCTGAAGTGATCTTCTGCAGAAGCCCCTCCTCAATATTTTCTTCCATTGACCTGAAATTTTGCTACACAGATTTGCTTGATATTATTACTCCAAAATCATCGGAAATTTCCATAGATTTTGTGAAAATACTCCCGAAACATTCATTAGCAATGTAGCCAATTCAATTTTGAAACGATGAACTTCATATATTTCATATGAACATGTATTTTATTGATATCAATTATTATGATCGAAATCCTCAAAGTGGATTTCCAGGAGGAGCGCTCGCCAACATATTCGTGTTGCCAAAAAAATGTCCAGTAATAATTGAATCTCGTGGTATTGTCATTGAAAATATAGAGCATCTTTGGGATTAACTCCTTTCGTCTTCATCTGGCGTAGGAGAATTTTGAGCAATTCCTCAAAACTGCTTGAGTTTGATCGACTCGATGCCACGGAGATTGAATGCATTGATTATTCAAGCTCTAGGAAGTCTGCCCTATGTGTTTTTCTTTTATTGAGGTTTTTAATCAGTGAGTGCTAAGAAAATGGGGTAGAGATAAGCAATATTGACTCCTCTTTTTTTTTCTGAATTTGTAATCGATAAATTCATGTTGGTATTGGATTATTGTTCATGAAAATTTGAAAAATCCATATTTTCTTAAAACACTCGTATCTTCTCTTGAAAAAATGATATTGACGCGAATCCAAATCCATTGTCTTATGGAGGGATCATACTTCAATATCTTACATGACGAAGCTGAGTTTAACGCTCACATTCATTACAGGGCGTTGTGAATTTGAGGGTGAAACAACATCAACTTTTCTTGGGATCTGAAATGCAGACTGAATTTGCAAAATATACAAGAATAAAAAAGTTACAGGGCGATCAATTTATCATATTTTTTTTCTTGCCGTTTTTTTTTGACGGCGAGTGTATGAATCAGGGGTGACATATGAAATGAGAGTACCTACTTTATTTTTTCTGGCAGTTTTTTGAGTCACATTTCCTAAAGGCAACAAACTTCGGATCATAAATGTGAAGCTTACTTCGACAAAAAAAAGCTCTCGCTCATTGGGCGAATGAACTGATAATGAACTATTGGCTTTCAATTACTCCACTGTGTCGTTAGAAACCTAAAATTGTTTTTTGCTACATCTCTCACGCTTTTTTACGTAGATAATGTGTCTATGCGTTGTTCGAAATTGTTGAATTTCAGAGATAATTTCAAACGAACCATCATGGCCGCCATTTGGCGATACATCGAATGAATAGTGACATTAGTTTTTATGCTGTTTAGTTATTGGTCAGATAATCTCCCATTTCCACTCATGAAGCAAAATTGTCAAGTCACCAATTATATGCAAGCTATCAAAGAGAATAAATTTAATTATTCACACAAATGTATTATAAGCATGAGCTACGAATCATAAGGGAACATTTTGAGACAATAGAAATTATTATTGCTAATAAGGAATATTACCAATACTCGATTGTGAATTTATGAATCATTGAATAACTATCATTTCTGAAGTTCCCAATCGTATTTCAACCCATGGTAACTGTTCTATATGGTCTGCCCCTAGTTACGCAATCATGGCATCAGTTTTTACTGGCAATACATTTCTAGCCGGTTGAAAATTACCGTGGCATAATTATTGATTTTAGCAAGTAAAATCGATCAGAGAATTCTTAAAAAATATGAAATAGAAAGGTATTTGAGTGATGATTCTAAGGAATAAAAAAATAGTCCACTCGCTTGACAAGCCAAATGTTTGTATAGGCTACACGAAACCGGACGTATATCTCATCGACATCGATGGCAACGGCAAATTTCCCCCGGCACACGTCAGATGCGAGTTCCAGAGCCCCGAGGACTCCACCAAGACCATCGTCGAACATAACCTGCCCAGTCAGATCGACGTCCGATCGCCGTCAGAGGAGGACTTCAGCTTCAGCATCAAGTATTATAATATTTTTAATGGTGAAAACTTCATGAACGATATAATCTCCACACTACATGTTCCGCTGATAGATGAAAATTACCTGAGAAAATACCTTCATTTTTGGAAAGTACGCACAATAATCTACTAAAATTTGGAGTACCTACCAAATCAACTTGAAAGGGGTCAATAAAACGTAAAAAATTCTGATATTGCACTTTTCGTAATCTCATACTGTTATTATTTTGATTCAACGGTATTCAGTTGACAACTAAAAAGTTAATGTTAATAGCCTCCGTCCGATAAGATTGTTAAACGGCCGGTGACCGTTATGATATCATGGTGATATTGTTAAGCTCCATTATACACAACACGATGTTGGGATTTTTCAGTAGAATTACTAGGTATAACCGAACCACACACTCTAATTCCAAACACCGGACTCTCCTGGTTCACGGATGGGTCTCGAGTTGGGAATCTCCCTGGTGTTGGCGAATACAGGCAAAACCAAGACTACGGAGAGTTTCAACACCTTGGACAATTTGCCACTGTATTCCAGGCTGAGGTAATCGCCATCCTTGCCTGCACACAAGAAATCATACGACACCATATCAGAGGCAAGCGCATCTACATCTGCTCCGACAGCCAGGCCGCTCTCAAAGCTCTATGAGCACCAAGAGTAGTCTCTCGGTTGGTTTTAGATGGCAAACGGAACCTTGCTGGGATAGCAAGGAAAACCGTATCTAAATAATTTGATTCCTGGACATAGTGGAATAGATGGCAACGAAAGAGTCGAGGCAAGGTTCTTCAGCCCGTCCTGCGGGTCCATCATGAGCATTTTTCTCTGTACAGAATTGCGAAAACTTGAAGAACTTCTGACTTCTGACTGAGAGGTTTAGTCGGGAACGTACTGAATCTAGGGGCATGAGGCAGGCGAAAATCTTTATTGAAAGGCCTTCGATACATCTCACCCGAACCCCCTGAAGCTGTGAAGAAACCAATGCAGAGTTGTCACTGGTTTACTAACTGAACACTGCCGCCTAAACAGACTACTAAACATTCTGGGTATCTCCGATGGCCCAACGTGCCGTTTATGTCTCGAAAACGACGAAACTCCCATTCACATCATATGTGAATGTACTGCGCTGATACAGCTCAGATGGCGGAGTTTGAGACACACTACTCTTCCAGTGGTAGAAGCGCCAAACATCCCGGCTACCGACATCCTCTTGTGACGAATGCCACACTCACGGGAAGACACAATGGACCACACTAGCGGTCTAGCTGTCTGGACTTCGACAAGTCCCCCCGATGACCACTTAGTCAATCAATCAATCAATCACGTGGTTTGTTCTTTCCTCGGGATCAAAATGTAATCTTTCAACAGGATTACGAAAAGCCTTGAACGATACGCAAATAACGGATTCGGTTGCTATATGGCTACACCCCGTATTACAATATTCTACCTCATTCGTTATTTGCTACATATCGGCCTTGTAACGTTAATAACTATAACGATAAAACTGGACCTCAATAATTCAAAAATTGTTGAATTTATTTTCTTAGTATGTAATATTTGCTATCATCTCTTTCTAGTTGATCCGGTAAGTACTCTGAATCTTGATTTGCGTAATTTCCGAAAATGAAGGTTTAGCCAATTTTTTAATCCTTCAGATTCGGAAAGTAGGATATAAAATTTAGGCAAGTCAATGTTTAGCTACTGTCTTGTTGGAGTCGTTAATCTATCGCGAAACATATCGTGTTGTTAGGAATCTTGTGGTGAACTACATTGTAGTGAAAAAAGAGATAAACACGTGGAGAAAAATTGTTATCGCTGGTGCATCAAAGATTAAAGTTAAAATTGGTCATTAAAACTTCTTCACAAATCAAAATTAATAATCTGATAGCTCGACCATACAATTCACAAGTTACTCAGTTTTCACCCACAAATCAAAGTACTCAATATCTCAACAATATTGCAGCAGTATTTCAATGTAATGTGTTAGATAGTGTCGCTATCTTACTGCAAGGTCGCAGCTACTACTGAAACATGAATGTCCCATATAGCACGAGTACGTCCCCAAAACGTACTGAGAACGTCCGGCCAAGACGTTTCGTACGTACTGGGGACGTCCAGATTTGGTACGGTCGACGTTCAGGTACGTACTGGGGACGTCCAGATTCCGCATGTTTGTACATCTTCAGTACGTCCATTCAGGACCATGGATACATGATTCAACGTAGATCCGCCACTTTTCACTCAGATAGTAGAAAAAGAGATTTATATAGGGTAGAAAGTCTTATTTTGAATTAAAAAAATTAAAAATAAAACGCTTCTACCAGGGATCGATCCCACGACCTTTAGATCAGCAGGCAGATGCTTAACCTACTACTCTGTAGAACCCTTGTTGATTAACAGTATACAACAAGCAATATTATGTGCGATTTCCGATTGACTCATCACATCGATACTTTTAAAGAATTAGATAATCACGGCAGAGAATACCTAAATAGATGTTTTGTGATCTGGTGGGACCAGTAAAATAAATAATGAATTTATCGTGAGCATTGTATTATGTTTATGTTTGCAAGGTTCCTATATGGATAGATTTCAGAGATCGAGGGTAGAAATTATATATGCAATGATTTCGATTATCATTAAACAATTTTATTCAATCCCGTGAACAAAAAGTCGATAACGTCCAGAGTTGGACGTACCCAGTACGTCGGAATCGTACGTACCCAGTACGTCCAGAAATGGACGTTTTCAGTACGTCTTGAAAAGGTCCGGGACGTTCAGACCTAAATGGGTCCTAAACTGGATGTCCCCAGGACGTCGAGTGCTATATGGGGTGATGTTCGCGAATGAATCATTTCAGCAAAGTTTTTGTAACATCGTGTATGGAATACAGTAAACATTTTAAATCAATTTAAATTATAATCTAATTGTAATATTTCATTAAGGTTACTGGCAACATAAAATAAAAAGAATACATAGTAGCAAATAATATTCTAATGATCGAATAATCCAGTAGCACGAATCTTGGCTGGATATTGGCTCCATATTGGCCCAATATCGGCAATATTGTGCCAATATAGGGCCAATACCCAGCCAAGATTATGTGCTACTGGAATCGTGTCGACTTTTTCATAATCATTCATAAGTCAATTGAGAAAATTTCAAAATGTTTTCTATATAACGGTGCCACGGCTTATAGGCCCTGCACTGCATGACCTTTCATCGACAAAAGATGAATAAAGACGATTCATTATTATTATTATTATTACCAATATCATTGTTAAATTAGGTACCGTGAGTTCGATGCTGAAATGCTCCAAGAGCTGGTGCGGCACTCGCTGAACTGCAGCCAGTACGTGCGGTACGACTGTCAGAGGGCGCCGCTGGAGCTGCACTCGGCCACGTGGTTCGTCAGCTCAGCCAATCAAACTGTGGATTTCATCGGGGACGTGAAGAGGTAGGGAGAAGGGTAGTCGCTAGTCAGGCGCCGTTCAGAATCCACTGTCTGATATCTGTTCACATGAAGGGTTATATTACTTTGGTTTGTAATAGAATGCCTAGAAGATCGACGTTCAGTGCTTTTTAGAGTGAGGACAAACTTGTGACCACTGACATTCTCGAATATTCAAAATGTATGAATATGAAACGTCGTTCTAAATATTGAGGAGGCCTATCTGTTGCGACCCCGTGAACATGGTCTTCAAATACAAAAAATGAAGAATTTTGATTTGCTCCCTATTTGTTCTTGTCGATTATCTAAATGAATTGTAACTAATTACCAAAACTACGAAATTCCAGAAATATTATCGTTTGGCGCTTCGCGTCTCAGGATATGAAAGTAATTGCTATATTATAACTCACACTTCTATATACACAAGTTGTATAATATACTATTTTCGTATCGATTGTCGATGTCCTTCGATTACCAAAAGATGTATCCTTTCCCTCATACCCACATAGCAGGGTTTGCTAGAATAATGCGAGTTCTGCTATCAACGTCTTCTATTCCTATATGTTGAAGGAAACTATCGTACAAGTAATTGATGACCTAGAACTCTCCTAACTTATCTACTATTGATTTCAGGTGCTCTAGAAAAAGGCTCTATGAAAAAGTTTCTTGAATATGTAGTCAAAAGTGTGGAGGACGGTCAGATAGAGTTGAACACCTTATTTTTCCATACGGCATAATATGAGTTATGACCCAGAACTTTCCCTTTCTGTCTACTGAAATTCGTACTTCAGAGAGTTTAAACTATAATTCGCATGAATGAACATTGGCATATGACTTGAAATAAACGCCTGCAGCGTTTGATGGTTAACAGAATGTCAAAATACCGTCAATTTCAAAATGAACCCCCAAAAGATCAAAGGCCTAATTCAGTCGTATGGACCGTAATGAGCTTAGGTGCACCAAAACCTATTATAATATCTGAAATTCACCCTGATTATTTGTAGATTTGAGATCTCCAATGTATTTTCTATCATTCTTTCGTTCAACTTCAAGAATTTATCCATTCTCTCTGAAAGAGTCGATAACAGATAATTCGAATTTTATCAATCATCATTCGAAAGAACATGTGATCTCAGGAGTATAAGAGTATTTTTTTGGCGCGTATCTGACATAAACGACATTCGAAATTTGGCGACTCTTTACTTACACAATACAAACTATAGAGTTTTTGGTTGCCTGATCGACCAGTCACATATCACGTGACTGATCACAATAACAAATACGAATGATTTCGAACGGTCGCTTGTATTTATAAATCTCAAAAGCGTGAAACTCCATCACTGATCAATCGATAATATATCGAAAATAACACATAATTAACCACACATGCTAAAAATCAGATATATTAGGAATTATCTCTTGTGTCATTGACTTTCTCAAGACAGATTTTGCTGATGGAACAATAATTTTGAGCTGTATACCAGAAAGAATAACTCGATCGAGCGAATCTTACGAATTGACAAGTATTTCAATTAAATTGTGATCAAACTACCGCTGGTGACTGATGAGCAGACTAAATAGTTGTATCTATAAAAATCCAACTGATCAGTTCAATCGTATGACAACTAATATACAAAATATCAACACCAATCACTGCAAGCGTACAAGCTACTTCGATATGAAGTGTATTCAAAATCAAATTGAGAAAAGAACAAGCAATCAGACGCCGGTCTTTCTACTCTGCCCTGCTGCTCGACTAATCTTTTCTGCCCGGTCGTGACTAAATATTGTTGGCCTCCAGCACGACCATAACATGAACAGTTTACGTCATAGTTGAAATAGCAAGAGATACAGTTCTATTCCATAAAATCTAACGGCGCCGACACGCCGTTAAATTTAAATTATCATTTAAGGAGAGAGTTTGTTTATGTAACCTGATGTGCTTGGATTTACTATGTTTAGGTTCGATAGAAAACAACGCATTTGATATTTCGAAGAATATCACTTGGGTTTGGCTAAAACGAGGCCGGTGGAATGAAAACTGAGGAGACATGAGGCAAGGCATTCATTGACGGGCATCTAGACTGGAAACACCGGCCTCGGTTTGCTTGTTCTTTTCCCAATTCAAATTTGAATACGGTTCCTATCAAAGTAGCTGGTGCAGTCAGTTGTTAGGAAAATGTCGCAGTTGGATAGTGTTAGAGCTGCAGAAGTGTCTAGAGGTGATATCACCGCCCATGTGCGACATGTTCATTGCATCTGACTGTACGCTTCTAGTGATTGGTGTCTAGAGGTGATATCACCGCCCATGTGCGACATGTTCATTGCATCTGACTGTACGCTTCTAGTGATTGGTGTTGGTATCTTGATTATTAGTCGTCATGCGATTCGGCTGGTCATTTAGATTTTGATTGATACAACTATTAAGTCTGTTCACCAGCGGTGATATGATTACAATGTAATTCAAATAGGTCTCTATCAATGAGAATCCTATAAAAATAAGTAGTTTGTGTCACTCATTTTGAAAACTGTAGATGCCCTTGAGTAATTTGATTGTTTCTAGGTTATAATTAATACCCTTGAACGGCATCGGTAATCAAAAATGCCTGGGAGATTCATTCTGCTTGAATGCTTCAATACTAACTGAATATTAGGAGTTACTAACTGTATATAAGGAGTTCGATCAATGCGGTCATCAATCAAAAACCCTGTGATCGAAGCACCGAAGGCTGTGTCAAGTCATTCGTTGGACCACAGTGGTGATACCAGGATGGTCAATGGTTGACTTGACTCAAAAGTTAACGTGGTATCTTTGTGGGCAGGTTTGAAACGTGATCGATATTCCCAAACAGCTGGTTGGTCAGACTGATGGTCAGACTTCACACTGAACATATGTGCCGGTCAAACCACAGACTTGACACAGCCGAAGTGTGGTCCAAGTCGTAGCAACCGGTCGGTAATTGAAAATGCTCCTATCGGTGACCGTTAGTTTGACGTTGAACCGCATTGACCATCAAAAAGCCCGGGCGATTTGGCCCTTTGATCAGTCGATCTTGGTCTTCAATAAAATACGTTACCAGGGCCAGGTAGCCGTGCGGACAGAGTGTCTATATTCTAATCCGCATTCGCTTGCCGGTCGTGGGTTCGAGTCCCGTCGACTGCAGAAATTTTTCTGATGGCCCAAGAAAGTGTTTGGGATCACACGTTAAAAGGTAAGGCCCCCGTCATTCCTTGCTCGCACAAGACTCTCGAAGACTTCTGAGGGTTGCTCGTAAGGGGGCAACCGAATGACGGATAGAACAATTTTAGAACAATTTAGTTTCAAGTCAATGCGGTCATCAATCAAAAACCCTGTGGGTGGTGTGGTCCAAGAGGTCGCAACCGAACGGCAACCGAATACTCTCCTATCGGTGATCGTCAGTTTGACGTTGAACCGCATTGACCATAAAAAAGCCCGGACTATTTGGTCCTTGGGTCGATCAGTTTTGGTCTTCAATAAAAAACTCTCCTTTTGGTGACCGTCAGTTTGATGTTGAACCGCATTGACCATCAAAAAGCTTTGATTCCTGCATCGGTCGGTCTTGGTCTTTAGTAAAAAACATTATCATTTGGAGTCAATGCGGTCATCAATCAAATACCCTGTGGGCGAAGTGTGGTCCAAGTGGTGGCTACCGGTCGGCAACCAAAAACTCTCCTATCGTTGACCGACAGTTTGACGTTGAACCGCATTGGCCATCAAAAAGCCCGGACGATTTGGCCCTTGGATCGATCGGTCTAGTTCTTCAATAGAAAACGGTGCCATTTTGAGTCAATGTGGTCATCAATCAAATACCCTATGAGCGAAGTGTGGTCCAAGAGGTCGCAACCGGTCGGAAACCGAAAACTCTCCTTTCGGTGACCGTCAGTTTGACGTTGAACCGCATTGGCCATCAAAAAGCCCGGACGATTTGGCCCTTGGATCGATCGGTCTAGTTCTTCAATAGAAAACGGTGCCATTTTGAGTCAATGTGGTCATCAATCTAATACCCTATGAGCGAAGTGTGGTCCAAGAGGTCGCAACCGGTCGGAAACCGAAAACTCTCCTTTCGGTGACCGTCAGTTTAACGTTGAATCGCATTGAACATCAAAAACTCCGGGCGATTTGGTCCTTGGATCTCTCAGTCTTGGTCTTCAATAAGAAACGTCGCCATTTTGCGTTAATTCAGTAATCAGTCGGCAACCAAAAACTCTGCTAACGGTGACCGTCAGTTTAATGTTTCCTAACAGCAGCTTTACAGGGGTACATGCCCGTGTTCCATAGGCAAGAAGTGCGAGAACAAGTCGCAGTGGTGCAACTGCGACGATATGGACGACGACAAGTGGTACACGGACGACGGGTACTACACCAGCGCCGGCAGCCTGGGCATCACCGAAATGGTGTTCCTGCAGCAGGCCGATATGCCGGAGGACGCGCTCGGGAGGATCACTTTGGGGCCCTTGGAGTGCGTGGAAACCAGTGAGTAGCTACAAAATATTGTCAAGAAGTACAAATGTCTATGAAATAACTTTCGTTCATTTCTAGATCTTTAATCCTAAATTAACTTTTCCAAATTAGAACATCTTGTACAACGTTTCGATCAGGTCAAAGCGGAGTTCATAGACTCTAGTTCCGGTAAAATTTGCATGAAACCGCTTAGCTTGCGATGCGGGCCAAGCTTTACGCCCGGTATCGAGCATTGCCATTGCGGAAAATTGCAATGTTAGCATCGATTCCAAATATAAATAGATTCCGAATCGATAAGCCAGCCATTACTAGATTCATTACTGATTATTGATTATTACTATTCATTACTGATTTTTGATTATTATTGACCACTCATTCCTGATTACATTACTATTTGATTATTACTAAGTAAAATGCATTTCGATAACACTTTACTTTATTCCGTAATTGAGTTACTAATTCACGAGTTGCTGCCAAAAAGTGTACCGTCCTCCCGACTTTGATCCTGCTGGTCAACCCATGTTAGATGTCATAATGTAAGTACTGTTTTTTTCCCAATGTTGTTTTGCGTTGATCTTTTCTTTTCCTTTTTGTTAACCTGCCATGTGGCAGCATCTATTCATAAAACTTTTTATTCAATTAATAAATGTTACTTTTCTATGAAAACTGTCCGGTCTCTTTATTTGGGGGTGAATAGGGTTGGATGGTGAAATGATCAAAATCCTCTCATTAAGCCAAGCGAGTAGCCAAGTTGCGATCCATATGAGGGCAACATCTGAGTTGCGACATGTGGTGGACACGCCGTTTGCCAAATAATCTACCAAAACCATCTGAGTTGCGACACGTGGTGGAGGCGCCTTGCTCCTTCCTACAGATTAACTCTTCATAGTTAATCTATTCAGTTCATCTTATTTTATTTTTTTCTTTCTTCTCATCAATTTTGTCACGTTTTATAAAACAATTTCACCCATCCAACCACCATTCATTTCAAAATATGAAGTTTTCGTAAATTCAATGATCTATTTCAATAATTACTTTTTCAATACTTGCTTTCAATTTACTTTCAACTCAACTTTTTTCATATTATCAGACCATAGATTCTCTTGAATTTTCTGAATAACTGATTTTCTTTTTTCATCCATTGATGCGTACCTAACTTGAAAGGCAAAATAATAATGATATCATTCATACAACAATGCACCATTGTTTCTGAAAATTCTGGGAAATTTTGCTATTATGGTATAATAAGTGATTCAGAAAAGTATTCTCTGGTAATAATTTGTGTATTTTATTTCATTTTACGGGGTGTGTTTCTACGAAGTTCTGGAAAACATTAAATATTTCAATTTTGGTTTTGGATTAGTGAGTTATATAAAGCAATTTTTCTTATTAAGTGGGGTATTCGAGAAACTCATTCGATTTTCATGCAGAGATACAGAGCGTTCAGTTTCAGCTATCCATTTATTAGTATAGGTGATATATATATCATATATTATGATTTTTTCAAATATCATATCATATTACGTTAAGAATTTTTTTCAACCAAAATGGAGCACAACCCAATTTTTTTCTCTCGTTTTTATTGGTATATATATTTCAAGTTGGTTTGCGCACTATCAACCCTTATTAACAGAGCATCCAAGTGTACCTAATTATTCAGATTTTTTTACTCTTTCCAAAGATACAGGGCGTCCTTGACAATATTCAGTAATGAACATGCATAAATTCAACTTTTTATTTTCAATTTTGACATTTTATTTTATCTATTTTCTCTCACCACGTCACAATTCTTGAGTTATGAATGATTCTGCCAAATACCTGTCTTACTTCAGCTTGGAAAGATATCATTGATATTGTCTAATCGTGAAGAATACCTGTATCGCCAGTACCAGCTTCTGAGCGATTACCAATAACATATTTTGAGAATTGTGTACAATTTGAGCCACCCTGAATCAAACCTACTGATTTGTTAATGGTACATACATTCCATTACCTGTCTCGTCAGTATCAGCTTGGGGTTGTGTATCATAAATAAGTCAATGATTACCTAATTGGAGGATAACTGTCCACTTTCAGTTCACTCTGATCGAGCAGTCATAGTTTTTCTATTCACTCTCCTTAAAATGTCTTTGAATGGCTCGTTATAATCTAAGTCGCCAACAATATTCATTGACTAAGGCAAGAAAAATATAACTAGACTTGTAAAAAACCCGAAAATCACGTTTATATCAAACTCTTAAAACTAACTATACATTCTACGCCACTGAACAAATGCCAGTACGCCCTGTAAAACCCACAGTTCAAGTAACCCGTGAAGAAATAGCACAGCAAAAATTGAGAAGACTATTTCGTGAATTTTGAAGTTAAAAATAGGTACATTTGGAAAAACAGGTTGAGAAATATCTGACAAACCTGTAGGCTCAGTCATTTTTATTTATAACTTTTGATGTTTGATTTTCAGAATTCGGATTCAATTCCGAAAAATTTTTTTGCAATCACTCATAATCTTCATAGGGTTTTTTTTTCGAAATATTGACTAGCGAGTTCTCAGTATTCCTTTAGTTTTAGTATATTTTCAGAATTCAAGATAAGATTTTTTTTGTTTGGGCAATGAATTAGTGTCTTTAAGAATAATTTTTCCAGCTCGTAGGGAAAAGGGTCGTATATCTATGGTATCACATATTTGGCTAACAAATTTTACTAGTTGATATTATGTTAAGTTAACATTTTAGTGAATGCTTTATTCAAAAAATCATTTTTTTTTTCTTCGCTTAGGGCACAACACATAGGTAACATTAGGTTTTCATAACGATCTATAATATAATCGTACATTTGAAAATCATTTCAGGGGTTTTTTCAATACTTTTCGGCTTCAATAATGCTATTTGCTGAATTTCCTACGAAAAGTGCTTCCAATTCTAATTATTAAACTATATACTTCATTTTGAATCATACCTTCTTTTTAATACAAATACTTATTGAATATTTTGAAGGTAAAACATATAGGTATCTTCAGCTTTGTCTAATAAATACACAGGATGATAATTATGCATGATACCTACTCGTCTCTTAATTTGATTAAACAACATTTTTAGAGATCTTCAGTTAGATAAACGTAGATAATTTTTATTCATCTATCAAGAACAAAATCGAAGTCGATATTGATTGAAACATTATAGGTTTTTTTTCTATGATTCAATGAATAAGTGCAAGTCCGTAGCATAATGACCTTAGCAGGCATACCTCTACTTGCGAAATTCAACTTTGCTGACAACAGCTTTGCTTTCTATGAGTTCATTGAACAGGCGCTCATTTCTATGATGTGTGTAGTATTTAATGAAGATACTAGATCTGGGATTTAATAATGACATCTCGATGAGCTGAGGTAGTTTATTCGAACATTTATATTTATGCATACTTTCGTAGAGATTTCAATGATTTTTTCAGACTGCTATAAATAATGGTTAGCCACCAGTCACTAAGACTATATAAGAATAATTTCGAAGAGTTCGTAATTTCAATAAGTTGGCATGTACTCAAATATTAAATAATCTTATTGGTCGAGTTGTTTTCAGGTGAAATTACTCGAATTTAGCTATCAACTTTCTTTTCTTGAGAATTAATAATTATCAACAAAGTGTTGATGAATACACAGGTTATTCAGTTGAGATATTTGTGAATGAAACATTGATATAAACTTGAGATTGAAATATTTCCCGGCATTTTTTGAATGGTTTTTTAGTTTTTCTAAGTGTCTAATGCATTTTTTAAGTATATTTGTCGCATTTCTGCTCTTGTGTATATCTGATACATAAATTTTTTGATACATTTCGTACTACCAGAATATAACAAATGATATGCTCTCATTTTTATCGGGTTATTTGAGCTAGCTAGTTCTATAATCACGTGTGCTTGGCTACTAGACAAATAATTCAATAAATATTCGAAATTCCGTGGAGTTGAATATTGTTGATAGAATAAATGATGAGAATTGAAGAATTGTATTGATTATATATTGAGAGTTTCCCCATAGACGAGTAATTACACAGGCAGACGTGGCAGATGACCTAAAGTATAGGTTGAACGTCCACCCGTGTAGGTTTGTCTATTAATGAGTTGATAATGATGAATAATGAGTATAATTGGTTGATTATACTTTTGGAGAAGCGCGGTATATCAGAGATTGGTCGTGGAAGAATATCCTGATGACTGGATTGAACGACTGCCTCTGATTTGCGTTTTATTATGATGATATGAGATGAGATGAGATGAGATGAGATGATATGATATGAGATGATATATATTTTTTTGAGATGAATATGATATATATGTTTATGTTTATGAGATGAATATGATAGATATTGAAGCATTGCGGTTTTTGTAGGAATGATCTGATGAAATCAGGTCCTATGAGATATTTGGGAAAAGTTGATATATGAGGAATACAGATGAAAAAGTAATGAGCATGTTGTTTCTTATTTAGGAGTAATAAGTAGAGTTTTTTTTCTGGTGTACGTATTTTGGTAGTATATTGTTGATATGAAGTTTTTTTTCATGATTCTATAACGAACAAAACATTTTCAAGAGCAGAAAGTTTTATAAAAGTTATTTATACATATATCAAATGAGAAATAAAAACCAAAGTTGATGATTCAGTGTGAATGATGAAATGTTTTGTGCATGTGGTGAATGGTATAGGTATAGTTTGGGAAAAAATAGAGGATTCGAAAAGTAGAAGATTGAGAATAATAATTATACTAAGTTCAGTACTGAAAGGCCTATTTTTCGAATCGCCTATGGATGATAGAATATAGGATTGAATGAGGTATGAAATGTCAAAAGAATGATAACATGAAGAATGAATGAATCGGAATATTTGAAAAACTGAATGAAACAAAAATGTGCAAGTTATTTTGGGAAAGAAAACAAGATTTGGGAAATTTCAATATGTATAATGAAGAACCGCATTATAATAATGACTTTTGTGTTAACTAACATCTGAATAACCTGTA